AATAAAATAAACCCCTTTGGAATAGGGGGAAAAAATGATACTTCTCCAAAGACAGTATACAAATGGCAGTTTGAAAAGATATTCAACATAATTTACAGAAATTCAAATAAAAACCATAACACCTCACACTCGATAGCATGGCTAATATTAAAAAAAAAAAAAAAAAAAAGTGAATGAATACAAATGTTTTCAAGGATGTAGAGGAAGTAACCCTTGTATACTGTTGATGGGAATGTAAAATGGATCAATTACCATGGAAAAGAATATGGTACGGTACTTCCTCAAAAAACTAAAAATGAAATTACCACATGATCCAATAATTCCACTTCACAGTATGCCTCCAAAAGAACTGAAAGCAGGATCTTGAAAAGATATTTGCACAACCATGTTCATTATACCATTATTCATAATAGCCAAGAGGTGGAAGCAATCCAAATGATCAACAAATGAATGCACAGCAAAGTGCGGTATACACATAAAATGGAATGTAATTCAGCCTTAAAAAGAAAATCCTGATACATGCTACAACATGGATGAATCTTAAGGACATTATGCTAAATGAAATAAGACAGTCACGATATCCATGGAAAAGTGGTTCCAGATCTAACCCACATACCTCTCCCCCCACTTCCAAGATAACAAAATCCAAGGATGCTCAAGTCCCTTACATAAAATGGCATATTTGCATATAACCTACATTCTACCTTATACTTTAAGTCATGTGTAGACTACTCAGAATATCTAACAATGTAAATGCTATGTAACTAGTTCATGTGATATTTGTTTTAGGTACAATGACAAAGAAAAGAAAATTCAGTTTTCTACCGAAGCAATTTTCATTAAATTATAGAGGCAAATATTTTTTGATCTGCAGTTGATTGAATTCACAGATATGGAACTCTTGGACAGGGAGGGCCAACTGTACTGCATGATTCCACTTATTGTGAGGTTATCTAAAGTAGTCAACCTCATAAAAAACATGAAGCAGAATAATAATCCACAAGGGCTGAGGAGAAGAAATGGGGAATTATTGTTTATGGGTATAGTTTTAATTTTGCAAGATGAAAAGTTTTGGATATCAGTTGCACAACAGTGTGAATACTATTAACACTACGGAAGTACACATTTATAAATGTTTCTTTTCACCACTATTAAATTTTTTTCCTCCATTAAAGATCTTTAAAGATTTACACAATAGGCCAGGCATGGTAATCCTGCAATCCTAGCTATTTCAGAGGCTTACGCTGGAGGATCTCAAGTTTATGACCAACCTGGGCAATTTAGTAAGAACCTGTCACAAAATAAACATCTTTAAAAGGGGTGAGAAAGTGTAGCTCAGTGGTAGAGCACTTGCCTAGCAAACATAAGGCTCTAGATCCCATCTCCTGCACTGCCTCAAAAAAGAAATAAAAAACATTCACTAATGTGTCTCCATTTCATATTCAGCAGCCATATGTTCAGGTACACTAATCTACTTTCATTTTAAAATACTCTATTCTTTCATTTTTAAATTTTCTATAGCTTAATAAATATCAAAATGTTGATAACCTAAGGGAAACCCTAATCCCAAATAGGAATCACTACTTTACCAATCAATATTAAAAGGAAAGTCTGGACTTTATATTACCTAAACGGGGAAAAAGCATTATACCTCTACCTATATTATCTTCTGATTCACAAAAAGACCTTTATGCTCAAGAATAAAATGGGTTAAAATTATTCTCCCTAAGTAAGAGTCATTCATTTTGACCTTATCCAAAAGCCACCAGCACTTAAAATCCCACCAAAATTAAGTATACACTGGGCATGTTGGCACATGTGATAATCCCAGCAATGCTGGAGGCTAGGACAGGAGGATCAAAAGATCAAAATCAGCCTCAGCAACTTAGCAAGACCTTGTCTCAAAATAAAAAAATAAAAAAAGATCTGGGGATATAGCTTAGTGGTAAAACACACTTGGGTTTAATCACAAATACCCCTTCCTAGAAAAAAAATATATATATTAAATATGTTATCTCCTTTTAAGAAACCACTCAAGGATTATCTTCACCAAGGGCACACAGTAGGTCAGGTACCATTCCAAACAATCTAATCAGTACTAGTTTATTAGGGAGTAGAGGTGTAGAGTCAAGCCAATGGCAAAAATGATGATTTGTAAGCCAGTGTAAGATTCAGTAATCCTAACTGAAATGTAACTTTAAAAAGAAAAAAAAAAAAAAAGACAATGGTGAAAACATTGATTGAAAAACAGAACAATCTGGAACAGTATGAAAATAAACCCATCTACATATAAAATTTTAATAAGACCTCTAAAATTTTATACATTTTCTAATTTTAGATATTTGGGCTGATTCAGATTTTTAGTGGTTCTCAGAAGTTCAGCATTATTCAAAATTTTTGAACATATCTAGAAAAATATCCAATGTATCTACAATTATAAGAAATTTTAAAATGTGCTACTATAATGGGAAGGAGTAACTAGAAGCTACATTATTCCATGACTATAGAAATATCAGTAAATGGTACTAATCATCAAAATCAAATATTTATAAAGACTTCTATAGGCAGAAAATTTTTAAATTTTTAGCGGGATATCCTTAGTGCTTGAGGAAAACATTCACCGATAATCACTCTTTTTCAGCCACTTTAAACTTACTGATATCCTTCAAATTCTAGGCATCCAAGTTAATACTTAAAAAATTAAGTGTACTAAGTAAACTAATAAATGCAATATAAATTATGCTTTGGTTATAGAAAATCACATATTTGCCTGTACATGGGGGGAACCATCTGTGTAAACACACAAATATATACACATTAACCCCAATCTAGTTAAGAAAATAATTTAGAAACTAATTTTTTAGATACTCTAAAACAGACATGCTCTGCTTTCCAACTAACTCACCTTTTCTCATTTTCCTCAACTAATGAGATTATATAGAATTTGGTGCTCTGAACTTCACAGATCTTAGAGCATTAAATATTAATATAAAAATACCATGGTTACAGTAGAATAAAGATATTCCACAGAAAACAGATAAAGAGGAAAACTCATGAAGGATATTAAGTATTAAATATTTAAGACATCCAAAATCCCTGATAGTTTATATTCTTTGTATGAATAGAAATTATTAAATATTTAAATCAGAAAAAGATTTATGATGAAAAAAATCTTCTGGAAGGATATTTTCTTCTAACTGAACACTTAAATGATCACTTCATTGGTATTCAGAAATTGTGGCTCTTAAATTATCTTAAACCTAGTTGCATTTTTATGTGCCAATTCAAGACATAAGCATTAATACTGCTCCATGTATCCTTGCTTATTCATCAAGATAACTGAGAAGCATTATCTCTGCCTATTGTTGAGTTAATAACCCCTGACATGTTAAAACATTTTCATCTTCATGCTCTTCTCTTGGTCAAAGTGATAACAGCACAGCAGGACCACCTTCACCCTGCAAACTTTTTGTTAGATTTATCTACAAGAACACTAAAATGTTCTCTGGTGGAAGATGGCAACTGGGAAAAGGAAAATATAGGCTTAAGTTACAAATGTCCTCAGCCCCTCTATGACAAGCAGTTTTTCTATGGAAACACTCTTAGAAATATTTTTAATATGTGGTCGAAGGTCAGTGTATCCAAATGTCTTATAAAATGTGATGCAGAACACTGACACAACCTGACAACCAACGAAATAATGGCGAGTTTCAAATATGACTTTGTACTCAAAAAATTTGAATCAGAACCTTAAGAAAAGATCATGTAACACATAACAGTGGAGCATGAGATTTTACAGAAACTCTTTACAACACCTTGCAAAGACTTACAAAATAAAGCAAAATGAGGCGGGGGAGGAGGAGGGAGTAATTGTGAATTGCAAAATATATTTTAAATGCTATGGGACCAAATTAAACCATTTCTAAAGATGCCTAAGAGCTCAAGAGTTATTCCAAAGTAAAGCATAAAAACTTCTACAAGAGAACCTTTCCTATTTCTTTCTATCTAAGGCAAATAAAAAATGTATTCACAGGACAAATTTCCCTGAAATTATGTGAATCTCATGAAACTTGTGGGTTATGGAACTTGGGAAAGAATGCAATGTATATCCAAACATTATAGTTAATAAATACTGCTTTGTACTATTATGTAAGAACTAAATTCCTTGGGTATAATATTCCTTTATTATATGTACCATTACACATTCATCAGCATCCTGTATTTCAGAATAACATTACAAAAAATTACAATGGACCACCTCATATTATTCCTTAGTAAATGATTTAAATCTCTTGCCTCATCCTTAAATAGATGGGAGAGGGACTTGAGCGATTTAAGGAAGGAAGAAAGGGGTTAATATTTTCCAGACATATTGTTTTCCAAAGATTTATAATTTAAAAACAAACTACGGACCTGCCATTTAACTCAATATTCATCCCCTTATAGTTGCTAATGGTGTATGCTCAAAAGAGATGAAAAATCTTAATGTACTCAGCCAGTTACTGCACTGCAAAGAAAGTCTTACCTTTCAGGCTAGTTACACAATATGGTTAAACTAAATCCTGATTCAAAAAAGAATAATTTTCTCTATCATTTAGAAATGAAGACCACTGATCAATTAATGTCTATAAGCCACTTCAATAGTTGTATACCATGTCTGCAGGTAGACTATGGAGAGTGAGTATGTTGAAGGAAGGTATTTTCCCTTTCATGTCTTTCATCAACTTCCAGGGGACTGAAACCAAATCTATGTCAACTTTATAGCAAAGAATTCAGATTCTAATTCTGAATACAAATGCATATGTTGGGGGGATGAGGGATACAAAACCATACACTGTGTAGGGCGAGTTTCACATTTGAACCATGTACACACTGTATTTCAGTCTGAAATGTTTTATACTGGAGTTTTGTGTTCTAGTTTGGTACTAAAGTGTTTTTCCACCAAAAAAAAAAAAAAAAAATTATCATCAACTATTTTTCCACCTTAACATTCAACCTACCTGCCCATAGTTGTCTATGCCAGTTACTAATCTATTTAAATTTAATAAATCAAAAGCTGTCCTTAGGGATTGGCCAAGAGTCGTAAGTCCTTCAGCCTGAAGGTTTTTCAGTTCATTCATAAACGTTGCATGGTTTTCTTTCCATCCAGCCTGCAAAGAAAAATTAAATTTTTTTTCATCTTTTAAACCCATATATACACGGACAACCTTTATAATATGACCTTTACCAAGTAGATGTTTGGTTAACGTCGCTTTTTGGTTGGTATGGCTTCAATTAACCTGTTAATACTGTATCTCTCCTGAGAAATCTCTCTTCCAAAGGTGGCCAAGAAAAAAATCTGCATGCTCTATAGTTCTTGGTGGTTAATGGCCTCAATAGTTTATAACTTCACCAAGAAATTTACTACCTAACCTAATACCCAAAATCCGGGAGTGGGAAGGTATTAGTAGAAAGCAGATGACTTCTGAAGTTGGCCCAAGGCTGTCCCATCGGTCGGCAGCCTTAGGAAAACTCTAGAGATGACCAATCCTCGCAGCCCCTCAGGACTCCCTTGATAGCCCGGCCCATTCCCCTTTAATGCAAACCCGGGCTCGGCGCGGCCGGGCCCGGCTGTCACTCGGGCTAACTTGAATAAATATCCCCCACAGTTCATTGCTGCCGCTCACGCCGCGGAGGGGAAATGTCGGCCATGTTGATCGCAGCGCCGCCGCCGCCGCCGGGCCGAGCCGGGCCGGGGAGGGGATGGCGGTGGCCCTGCGATTCTGGACCGCGCCAGGACGCTCTCGAGCGGGGGAGGGGGTGGGAGCCCGCAGGGGAAGAGACCTCGGCGCCGGGAGCGCAGCGGGTGGGGGAGGGGAGCATAATGAAGGGTGAATGGGGGGGCGGGGAGGGCGAGCGAGGAAGGAACAGGGAAGGGAAGGAAGGGAAGGGGGAGGGCGAGGGCTGTTACCTTGATAGCATAGGGCGGCTCTTCGAAAGTGACCAGCATATACCTGTCTCCTCTGCTGGCAGGGTCCCGGGCACGGAGCTGCGGGACGGGAGGAGGAACGGGGCGGGCAAGAGGGAAGCACAGGCGAGGTTAATAGGCAGAGAAGGGGCGCCCAGTAGCCCCACCACCCCCCACAGTACCGCACACGCAGCGGCCGCCCCTCCACGCCGCCCCACACACAGATCTCTTCCTACACACCGCCCGGGGCCGGAGCTCGGGCCCCGGCCGAGCCCAGCTCGCAGCGCCCGCCCGCCCGCGCGGTGGGGGAGGGGGTCCCCGAGCCCGGCAGCGCCTGCAGTCAGGTCCCCGACACCCCCGCCCTGTTGCCCCCAGCCGCCCTCCCCCCCACCCTGCCGCCCGCGGGCCATCGGGCCAGGGTCGCCGCCCGGGCTCGGTCAGTCGGTACCTTCATGAAGGTCTCTACCGCGCCTTTGGCCGTGTCCAGGTAGGTGGTGCCCAGATGGCTGCGCTGGTTCATAGAGGCAGACGTATCTATCAGGAACAGTAAGATGGGCATAGTGCTGGCCGGGGACACCGGGGCCCGAGGTGGTGGAGAAAGAGATGGTAGAGGTGGAGGCACCGGTGGCGGCGGCAGCGACCGCCGCTACGCGGGGCGGGGGAGCGCGGCCCCCGGGAGGAAAACACCGTCTGGGTCTTTCCTCCGGCTGCGGGGAGTTGCTCCCCCGATAGTTGAGAGGAAACTCCCCAGACCCAGTCCTCCCCGTCGTACCCCTGCCTCCGCCTCCTCCTGCCTGCCTGCCCGCTGGGGCGGGAGCCCGGCCGTCTGTCTGTCGGTCCGTCCCCCCCGCCTGGGGGTCCCGTCCCCGCTCCCGGTCCCTGTGTGTGTCCCCGCGGGAGACGGGCCTGGCTCCCCACCCCACCCCCGGTGCAGGGAGTGGGGACCAGGGAGCTGGCGAAGAGGGGAGTGGGCTGAGGGGAGATTGGCCCTGGGGCTGTTGGGAGAAGTTTCAGGGACTCCCTCCGCACCCCGGCGGTGTCACCACTTTCTCAGCCCCTCTCGCTACTGAAGCGCTTTTCTCTCTCACACTCCGGTTTTAACTTGGGCAGGGGCTGTAGAGGCTCCGCCCCCTGACACGTCCCCGAGCCACGTGACACACCGCCCCGTTGTTCTATTGGCTAGTCCCTGGCCTCTCATTAGCATATTCAAACAGCTCAGGGGCGGAGGAAGCTTGTAGGCTGGCTCCGGGGACAGTTATTGAGCACGCGCGGAGGCGGGGCGTCGGGTGCGCGCGAGAGCGAGCGCGAGGGGCGAGCAGGCGGGTCGGCAGACGCGGAGGCGGGCTCCGGGAAGGGGCGGGGATGGACCGCGGAAGGACCGCGGTTGGGGGCGGGGGCCGCGTCGGCGCGCGCAGGGCGGCCGAGGCTGTGAGCCTGCGCGGCGGGGCTGCTGGCTTTCTTGGCTGTTGGAGGTGATAGGGGTCGGGGGAAGGGAAATGGAGGCTAACCCGAGTTCCCCTCTGAGGTCGATGTAGCGTGGACAGTGAGGAGAGCTGAGTAAAGTGAACAAACACCCGGTTAGGGGAAGAGGGCAGGCCCGATGTCGCCCTCCCGAGGAAGGCTCCGGGCCTGCGGCCGCCGGAGAAGATTCTTGGGCCTCGGAGGGCCGGCCCCAGCGCGGGCGGGCCCGGGAGGGGGAGGGGAAGTGAGAGGTTGTTTATGACCGGGGACTAAACTCCTCTCGGCACACCGCTCCCGCCGGGGAGTGGGACGGAGGGCTGATCCTTGCTCCGCCGGACCTGCAGCAAGCCAGGATCCTTGTCGGAGGACCCACTAGAAAGAGAACAGACCCACACCCAATCCCCGAGCAACGGGGAAACAGACGGTCTTAACCAGAGATTCCGTTCTCAAGCCGTTGTTAGGGCAATAGAGTATCAGTTTCACCGAAAGGAATTTAGACAAATCATAGTCCATTACCTTCATTTAAAGTGAAAGAAACTGACTTTCAAAATACTGTGTGAAGGAAAACATTTTCTGTTTAAGTCCCTGTTATCATAAAGTCATGAGTCCGCTCCTACAAGTCCGAGAAACAGTTTCCTCACATCGAATTGGAAAACCAAGACACTGCCTTAAATACAAGTTGAATTAAGGACATACAGCCCAGCCCTTATAAGACTATGGAGATATTTATAGGGACTCTCCCACTAGCCTTGCATTTCCGGATTTTATTCTTTATCCTGAAATTCTTTTTTGCCTACTGAACATGGAGAGTGTTTTTATTAACACAGAAAAGACATACTTTGTGGCCCTTTTTTAAAATCTTGAGTTTCATAACTTGGACTTTTCCTAATATTTGTTAATTTATGTTAGGGCAATTTTAGTAGTACGTTTTTCTGTAGGTATGGACTGCAAAATAAAATAGAACACAGGTCCTATTTGCGTAGGACCTGCTATATCTAGGTATGATGGAGATTTTTTAAATGAATAAAATGTCCCCATTTTTAATGAGCTTATGTTTTTCTAGGAAAATATTACATATTATTAAGGCAGAAAGCGATTAGATAGTAAGAGAAAAGAGAATTTTATTTTGGGATGATGAGCGTTTTCCAAGGTCAATATGTGCTGCAGTGATTATCAAACTGGGATTGTAGATCTAAAGAGTTCTGTGACAATATACAAAGTACTTTAACAATACTTTTCTTTCAAAGTGATCGTTTGCATAATTTTAATAGAGTTAGTCTTTCATTTTCTATATCACTGCTTTTTGGCTGTGGTCTATGGGCCTCTTGCGTGTCTGGAAACATTCTTTAGGATCATAACAAATTTTTCTTCTTGCACAGTACTCCGTTCTGAGAAACACTGCTTTTAAGTACTGACAGGGTTAGATATAGATAAAGGAAGGGGAAGTTGCTGGTGAAAAAATCCTTCCAGATATTGAAAATGAAGTTTGGACAGCATTGCTGGGGCTTGGTGGGGAACAGTGAAGTTCAGCTAGGCCAAAGCCCTGATGTATCAACAATGGTATCAAATCCAGAAAGGTAAATAGATAGTAGAGGACCATTATTCCAAGCTAAGGGATTTTCCTCCTATTAATTTAAAAGTTTTTAGATGGGATAGTAAGTAAGGCAGCAATGTTTGAAGAGAATTTAACTAGTCTACTGAAATAGATAAGCACACATTAATAATGACCTTGCCTATTACAGTTATTTGAAATCATCTTTCAAGATACAGAATACTGCTCGCTCTTCCCTGATTCAAGTGATTTTGGCAGGTTGTCATACTAGGGACATTAGTAGAAGTGTATAGTAGAAACAGGGATAGATGCAAAGATAAGGGAGAGTTAAGTCCAGAAAGTCAACCTGGAGCATGTAACCAGAACCCATGCTTATGATGGCATCTGAGATCAAAGATCAGGTTTTCAGTTCAGAAGTACTGGGAGTCAAGGCCCTGGGGCAAAGCAGTAAAGAAATCAGGGCATACAAAGGCAGCAAAGTAAGAGGCAATCAGAAACCAGGAAACATTAACAAGCAGACAGTATCTAGCGAAATAGGCCAACTTTATTCTCAGTGACTCTGGTTGACAATTTAGCTTTTGGTTGATGATGGCTTAAAGCAGGGGTTCTAAGCCAAGATATACACATCAGCATCATGAATAGAGCTTTAGAAAAATAATGGGCTGAGGTTGTGGCTCAGTGGTAGAGCGCTAGCCTAGCATATGGGAGGCACTAGGTTCTGATCCTCAGCACCACATAAAAATAAAGAAAAAAAGGTATCTTTTCTTTATATCTACATTTTGAAAAAATCTACAATTTGAAAAAATATTTTCAAAGAATAATGGCTTGATGCTGTGGTGCACACCTATAATCGCAGCAGCTCAGGAGGCTGAGGCAGGAGGATCAAAAAGTTCGAAGCCAGCCTTAGTAATGGCAAGACTCTAAGAACTCACTGAGAATCCCGTCGCTAAATATAAAATAGGGCTGAGGATGTGGCTCAGTGGTCTAGTGCCCCTGAGTTTCATCCCCAGTACCTAATAATAATAATAATGTATTGCCAAGTGCAGTGACCCTTACCTGTAATCTGAGCTACTTCAGGGGCAGGAGGATTTAGTAGTGAGACCCTTTCTCAAAAAAGTCTGAGAATATAATTCAGTGGTACAGCACTGGCCTACCAAGCACAAGACTTGGGGTTTAATCCCCAGTACCATAAAATAATGGACCAAGTTTCCATACCCAAAGAAAGTGATTCAGTAGAATTAGGACAGGCTCTGATCATCTCATTTTTAAAATATTTTTTAGTGATTCATTATAAATAATACTAATGAAGAACTACATGCTTTAAGTATAAGAATAAACTGGCATCTACTAGTACTCTTCATGTGCCCTTAGTGTTACTGTAATTTTTTAAAACTCAAAAATCTGAACAATAAAGGAGAAACAACAATAAATATGATCAACACTGTAAAGTGGATTTGCGACATGTGCTTAAATTGTTTGAATTTGACTGGGGAGATATAGAGGGTGGGTAGTAGTGCTAGAGAGTCTCACTGTTCCTCACTGAGTATAGACCTTGGAGTAAGCAAGAGATGGGAATGTAATCTCTTCTTCATTCATTCTCGGTGATTCTAGAAAGATTCAGGCTTGTTTTTCTGAAATGTAACCCCTAAATGCATGCCACCTATTTCATCAGATTGAACTGAAGAAGCAGTGAGCTCTTGCAATGCTAGAGGAAAACTAGTTGGAGTAGTGTGTGCTAAGCCCCATGCTATTACAGTATAGGGGATTAGGGAAAATTTTTCTGGGAGGGTATTGGTCAGAAGAGGTATGTGGGGGAAAAAAAAAAAAACTTGCTTTTTAATGTTGTTTTTAAAGGAATGCTATACAAATGTTCTTGCTCCAATTTAAAAGAGAATAAATTAAATGGATACTTGCCTAATATGCTTGAGGCCCTTGGTTCCATACCCAAGCACCAAAAAAAGAAAGAAAGAAAATTATATGGAAACCTCTGAAAGAGAATGGTGACTCTGGCTGAGACAATAGCCTAAATTGTTGAAGTAGAGCTATTCTAACAGAATTAAGAATTGATAAATTAGATTCATTCATAGGAGCCAACCAGAGCCCTTTTAAATTATTTTAAACCAAATAAGCAGGTTAACACTTTAAAAATAATTATATGCCAATGATTTGGCTTATGCTATCTGGATGTGCCATCTGAACAAAATAATCAGTTGAACTTAGTGTTCCTCATTTCTAATCTAACAAAGTTTCTTTTGGCTGTCTTACCATTTCCTTGACTCTGCCATTCTACTCCCTTTTAGATCATACCGAGATACCTCAAAAAATGTGGGAAAGTAATAAACATAAAAAAATTAGATGTGAAACCATGCAGCCAATATAATCAGATAGTACATATATAATGAAATTTAATTTTGATTATACTAATATGGTCCTTGGGCAGGGGAGGGTTGTTAAGAAATTAGATCTTTTCAACAAGCAGTGTTTCACAGTAGTATTGAAGTCTCAGACAATTCAAGGTCAGCTATCAATATGGACATATAAAAATTAAGAATTAGAATCAGGGTGGAACAATTTCTCTAGGAGAGGAGAGTGAGCATTGCAATCCTTCTTTCAACTACTACTAGTTACACACCCAGTGTTGTGACAGGCACTATGGTAGGTCCTCAAAGAGTTTATAAGATAATGGAAAAACAGAAGCCAAACAGATAATGAGAATGTAATATTATATTCACAGCCCCCAGGCATGATATAAGATTTGTCTTAAAGAGTTGCTTTGAAAATTCAAGGTAATCGAATTACTGATTGGGACACTGTGAATTGTAAGAAACTCTATTACTTTCGGACCACTGGTAGTTGGGGAATGCTGCTAATTAAACTATAATTCAGTGGTTTCTTATCAGAGTTTGTCTACACTGTACTGAATTCTGCCAATAGGAATATTAGTAATGCAACATTTTTTAAATACAATTCTCTTGTCTTTGATATTTTCTTCTAAACCCTTGGTGTCCATTTTAGGAGTTTTATTGCTAGTATTTCCTTGATCTAGTGGAAAGTGACATTGAAAGGTTTT